TTTTTTTAATTTTGTTTATTGAAATACAGTCAGTTTACAATATTGTGTTAGTTTCTGATATATAGCATAGTGTTTCAGTTATATATATATATACACACATATATATATATATTCCTTTTTATATTCTTTTTCATTATAGGCTATTACAAAGCATTGAATATAGTTCCCTGTGCTATACAGTAAGACCTTGTTTATCTATTTTATATATAGTAGTGTGTATCTGCAAATCCTGAACTCTCACTTTATGCTTCCATTTCCCTTTTGCCCCCCTGGAAACCATAAGTTTGTTTTCTATGTCTATGAGTCTGTTTCTGTTTTGTAAATAAGTTCAATTCTGTCATATTTTTAGATTCCATATGTAAGTGATATCATACAGTATTTTTGTTTCTCTTTCTGGCTTACTTCACTTAGTATGACAATCTTCAGGTCGATCTACGTTGCTACAAATGGCATTATTTCAGTCTTTTATGGCTACATAATATTCCATTGTATATATGCCACAACTTCTTTAACCAGTCATCTGTTGATGGACATTTATGTTGTTTCCATGTCTTGGTTATTGTAAATAGTGCTGCTATGAACATTGGGTGCACGTATCTTTTTGAATTAGAGTTTCCTCTGGATATATGCCCAGGAGTGGGATTGCTGGACTGATTCCTACTTTAATGTCCATTTGATTCATACCTCTGGGTCTAGGGCTTCTGAGACTTAAATGCAGCTTGGCATTAAAAGCCCATCTACCTTCCCAGGACAGCCCTTCTCGGTTTCCACCATATTATATGTTTAACTGCTTTAACTGATTAGCTACTTACTGCAACAAACACGGTTTGCCTTTCTCACTGCTTAATCAGCCAAGAAGCTCCCCCATTGGTCCAAATCCCCCTGTATGTTCTACTGTGCCGTGGGAATAGTGAGACCCCAGTCCCCATACCTCCAAACCCAAAGTATAAAACTGCTTTCCTCTTCACCACTGAAGAGGACCAATTCTCTACTCTTCTTAGTAAAATTTCTCTTCTTTTGCTTAGTAATTCATATTCATTAAATATGGAAATATGGAAGATGCAGAAAGACTAAAGGAAGAAAAAGAAATCACCCATAATCCTACCATTGAAAGAAAACCACTACTAATATTTGGGCTATGTCTTTACACTTTTTCTTTTTCTTTTTCCTTTCTTTTCTTTCTTTTTTCTGCTGGGTAGATGGATTTTTTAAAAATTGAGATACAATTCATGTGTCGTAAAATTCATCCTTTTAAAGTGTGTGATTCAGTGGTTTTAGTACATTCAGTGTTGTGCAATCATTAACATTATCTAATTTCAGAATATTTTCATCATCCGTAAAAGAAAGACCATACCTTTCAGCAGTCATTCCCTTCGCCCCTCCTCCAGCCCCTGGTGACCACGAATCATCTTTCTGTCTATATGAATTGGGCAGATGGATTTGTACATAATTAAATAGGTAGTCCTTACACTCTTTCTTAAAGAATAAAGAAATCCTCATCTTACCAAGAGCTGCCAGTTCACAGGTGTGCTTGAAAGTTTAAATACACTGGTGCTTAAGGTTGCCTCTAGCAATATTCAACTTGTACAACTTACTTCATCAAAGCTTTTCCAGAAGTAAGAATTTCAAACAACTTTATACAGAAAAATGAGTTTTAAAAATGTTTTATCACGTGTTTTGAGCACTTTCACACGTGTTCCATGTCCTAGGTAACATACCCAGCTGTATACCCAGCTCCAGCTCCAACCCTGGTGGAGCAGACCTGGTCTCCTGTTTCATGCTGCTCAGCCCCATAGCTGTCAATTTCAATGACTGTCATCGAAAAATTGTATCAAGTGTGGTTTTGGGAAAACTATCAGAATATACTATGCCTTTTTTTTTTTTTACAACAGTCTCTTTTTAAATGAAATTGACTCTTTTGTCTTCTTCTTTCCCAATTCATACATACACTTTATAATTAAGAAGTGTTTATTGGGTATACACCATGGTCTTGCTCTACAAAGTGAGTGGAGATCCAAAAACAGTACACCGGCAACAGCTAGAAAAGTGGACACCACATTGGTCCAAACTGAAAACACAGTAGGCTTTCCGGAAAAGGGTTATTCACGTGGGCGAAAGAATTGAGATTCGTGCTGAGCTGTGAAGCCTAAGAGAAGAACCAGCAAGAAAGATGCCAGCAGAGATTAGAGCCAGCATTTATCAGGAACCAACTGCATGCATGCACTGTGAGCGAGAGAGGGGCGGAAATGAGAGATGTGATGCAAACAGCAGTGAGCAGGGGCTCGGAAGTGCCTTGGGCAAACCGGAAAAGCTGCTTTGAGGAGGTGCCCTGAGCTCCTGGAGAGCACTGAAGGAAAGAGAGGAGGAAGGGAATTCCAAGCACGGAGATTATCAAGGGCAAATGCACAGATGTGTGCAGCGCCGTGACCATTCATGGAACTGCCAGCCCCACAGGGTGGGGGTGGGATGGAGCTGCTGAAGCCGAGTCCTGGGTGCTGGGCTGATGCCTGTGTACTTCTTCACTTTACCCGCATTAAACCAGATGCTAGGAGAACATCTGTGCCTTGGGCAGAAGTTTCCCAAATTGCAGTGAGATATGGAACCTCCCCCCTGCCTTGAAAGAACTCACAGGCTGGTTGAGTAGACAAGAGGCAGTCCTCCTCGTGTTACCTTCCCAGCGTCTAGGCTCTCACTGCAATCTTACCTGGCCCAATGGCAGCTGTAACTCTTACAGGAAGGACTAAGGAGTTTGAATATTTGGGACACACCACCCTTCTGAAGTTCTCCTTAGGGGCACGATAGCTGTGAGGGTGTCTCCACCTCCAGCTCTCCCTGAGCACCCCTCTCTCACTATGTCAAGAAAATGAAGCAGGAGGGAGACCCTGACTGATTCAAGCTGATACCTATTGCTCACAGGCTACCTGGAGTCCTGCCTGGAAGAGGAGGACTGAGAGCCCAAGGATGGTGACCTTGAGCTGATCAAGGGATAGACCCAGGAGCACCACAGCCACTGCCAGTCCCTCCTGCTGCCCCCTTCTCTTCAGCAATATCCTCTCCATACATCGAGCTCACCCCTGAACCTCCATGTCTCCCCCGCCTTGGGCATCTGATCCAGACCTCCTGTTTCCTGACCTTGTACCAGAGCCTCACTCCACGCCTGGCACACATTAACAGATCAATAAATATTTTCGCTGGAACAAATAGAAGGCAGCTCTCGCTTCCTATTCACCACCTCTGCTTCATGCCTGTCTCTAATCTCTGTGTCTTTGACCCAGGTTATTAGCATGGCCCCAGAACAGATTACAAATGCACAACTGCCTTGCTGAACGGTACGGCGCTATTGTCCTTGACTCTCTGATCTACACTGATTATAAACACCCAGCTTATCAGTCAGGACACCTGCCCCTTTCCATGACCAGAGCAACATTAACGTATGCAATTCACTCATTCATTCGTCAAACGTTTATCGAGGCCGTCCTATACACCAGGCAGTGAGCTGGAAGTTAAGAATATGGAAATTAAAAACACTCAGTAAGAGAGAAACAAAAGTGTAATAAAGTCTACAATAGAAACATTAATGCTATGAGACCACCTGGAGGCCTCAGGTGGGACCAGCTTTGAGAATCACAGTCAGAGCATAATCGTTGATGAGAAATTAATAAGCATATTAATGAGAAATTTAAAATACACCTGAAGCACTAAAGACTTATTTTCCTCTGCGTTTAGGTTATGAAAACGGTGGTTAGTGACAGTGGCTGCCAACTACTAAGCACCCACTATGTGTCCAGCACCGTGCTGAGCACACCACTGAGCAGAAACACATTGAGATGGATGGAGTGGGGTGGGGGAGGGGCTCGCATTTGCTCCTGGGTTTGCATGTGGCCGGTTTCAAGGCAAGATAAGCTCTACTGAGATAGAAAAGTTCAAAAGATAATTAAACCAGTTAGAAAGCAAGACAGCACTGGGACTGACGCTGGGTTTCAGAGCCAATTTCCAAGAAGTAATTTCATCATCATAGAACATCAAACGTGAATTCCATTTTCAGCTATGCAAATTCCAAAAGAATAATACCTCACATTTGCATAATGCTTGATGCTTTTCAAAGTGCTTTCCCAGTTATTAATCTAGAGGAGGCTTTATTACCACCGGAAACACAAATGGAAATTCTGTTCAAACTCAAGTTCTCCATTATTTTTCCCACTTTCCCCTCAAAAATCAGAGCCACCTAAATTCAGGTGCTTTGGATGGCGTGGATAACTTTAATAAGTTTAACCGACAGGGTGAATATGCATAAATGTACCATATTGTGGGGCCTTCCATCTATAGACACGGGGCTTCGATTGATCCAGACTTTGGAACCTTCTGTTGAATTAACAAAATCACAGGGAGCTACTCTCAGTTTAAATTTGAGATCCTTCCAAGATCTCAGAATTTGTGGCACTGCACATATGACATTCGTCAGAATCCATTCCCTTCTATCAAATATGAGAAAACTAGGAAATTAGTTCCACCACTTCGTCCTTAAACCAGCAGAAATCCTTGCCAATGACTTTCTGCAAAGTCACCCACATTGCCAGACAGCTCCTATGCCTTTTTGTTTGTTTGTTTTTAATATAATCAGAACCAAGAGGCCGAATCGATTGTAAATCCAAACTGGAGAGAGGATCTTAGAAAAATGAGGTGAGAAGATATGACGGGGAGCAAGGAAATACATCTCCCCAAACCTTTCCAATTTGTTTCTTTTTCCATCTCCTTCAAACTTAATTATGTGTAGCGTTCTCAGCCACTGAATCACCAGCCTTTCCTGACACCTCAATCTCATGCATTTGAGCGAAAGATTAACCTGGCTGTTTGCTTTTAATTCTGAAGCTGTGTTAATACTCAACTCCCTCTAGATTAGAGGGGAAGGAAAACACACTCCCACATACCCCACCCTGGCTCCGGCAAGCCTCCTATTTCTGACAATGTCACAGACATTGGAACAATCGGGCTTCACTTACCACTTCAGGAGGGCCAAGAGGACCACTAACAGGGCCACCGTCACCATGGAGCCATTCACTTCCAGTCTGAGGAACCCCCAGACTTCCATTGCTTCTCAGAGACCCTCCAGGGGTGGTCCTCCAGAGGAAAGAGAGAGGCTGATCCCCCTGCCGTTACAGGAAGCACGGTCCACAGCTAGAAGAAATAGGCAACCAAGAAAACATCCCATCAAGTGGGTCCCCGAAATGTGCTCTTTCTCAGAAGTGTCTCCTTATAAAGAGGAAGGAAGAGGAGGGAAAAACACAGGGTTTCGGTATAAGGCAATGAATCAGCAACTTTATTTTCCTGATGACTGTACTCCCGATAAACATTTGTGTGAACTTCCCTGGGAAGCAGGAGCAGAACTGGCCCCATGTTGAGAAAAAATTGTTGCAACCATAGATTTCTAGTGTGGGAAAGTTGTCCTAAAAGGAAGACTCCTCTTAAAAAAATTAATTTATAATCAAATGATTATACAGGTCAGGAGACTGAATGTCCCAGCAAACTCTGAGGCCTGACATCAGCCTGACGAAAATGCTGGCTGCATGGCAGACATCCATCCCACTAAGTTCATCGGTTCCTGGGGTTTAACGACCCCTGTGAGGGGTCCTTAGTGACTGCCTGTCGGAACAGACTGCAGGTCTCACCTCGGATCAGCCCTCTCATGATGAGCTGGAGGATTTTCTACATGTCTAACAGTACATCCATAGGCTCATGTGTGGGTCCTTTGTTCTGGCTCTGAGCTTATCTGAGTAAAGCAGACTGCATTATTTTTTGCTTATGAGTCAACATGTTCTGCCTTTAGAAACGGGAAAGGTGTATCATACAGGGACTCTCACTCACTATGACATTCGTCTGTTCATTTAGCACCTATGGGGGCCAGGCTCTGTGCTGAGTTTACAAACAGCAGTTGACACACAGAAGAAGTACCAGACTCTGGAGAATTTTCTCTGGGGAGACACAGACAATAAACAGGTAGACAAATACACAAGTAATTGCAAGTTGAGACCAGTGCTGTGAAGGTGACGACCACGGGGCTGGGCTGGGAGCAACTGGTTAGAGAGTGGCAGGGGACACCTGTCGGAGGGGGAAAGTTTGAGCTGAGAGTTCAGGTGAGGAGGAGACGAGAGAGCCGTGGGTGAAGACTTCAGGCCGAAAAGGGTGACAGGATAAAAGGCTGTAAGGTGGGGAAGAACTTCCCGTGATGTGGGAACTGGAAAGAGGCCAGAGCGGCTGGGGACCAGCTGGAGGAGCGGCTGGGAGGAGGTGGTGACATACACAGAAGCCAGACAGCGCAGAGGCACGGTGAGAAGCTTGGGCCTCATTTTATGTGCCACTTAGTGGTTGACTACTTCCGTATTCTGTTTGCTTGTTCTGGCTGCTCGTGAACGGGAGGGAAAGCAGGGAGGCCACTTAGAAGACTAGTGCGTTCATCCTGGGAGGAGGCTTCTCAGACTACAGTAGCGATGGGAGGCAGAAAGAAGTGGATGGTTTGAAATCTATTCTGGGGTAGGCTCGGCAGAATTTCTTGGTGGCTTGGATGTGAAAGGGAGGAGAAGGAGGAGGGACATCTGACTCCCAGGTTCCTGACTTGACAGAGTGCTGTTCATTGAGATGAGGAAGGCTGGAGGAAGATAGGGTATTGCTGGGAAAATCAAAAGTTGGGTTTTAATCCTGTTAATTTGGAGATGCCTGGGAGACATCTGAGTGGAGCCATCGAGTCAGAGTGGAATCTCGGCTGAAACTATAAATAATAATGATGATAATGGCAGTACCATTTATGGAGCTCTTACTCTGTGCTAGTTATCACTCTACGAGCATCCGCACACGTTAGCTCATTCAATCCTCATAAACCAGTCTTTGAGTTAAAGCTAATTATTAACCCCATTTTATAGAAGTAGAATCTGAGGCTTGGGATGTATGACTTCAAAGCCCATACTGTTACTCAAAAGGTTATATTCAAACATGAAAGGCACCAATACGCAAATGGTAGTTAAATCCAAAGGCAGAGATGAGCTATAGCCCCAAAGAAGAGGAAACCACCCAAGCACCAAGTACCTTCTAAGCACCTTCCCCTTTCTCTAGCCGTTTGCCCTGCCACCCTGTTTGGCTTTCCTACTTAGGTGTCCCCCAGCAGCTGCATCCCATCTGGACCTGGTGCCCTGTGCCCCAGCCCAGCCCTTCAGGATTTCCTAGCCTCTCTCATAGTCCATGTCTCCTTTGTCCCAACTGATCAGTACCATACTGACATGTCAACAGATCCGTGTCTCCTCCTCACGAACCAGAGCTATGCTTCGACAAGTTTCCTCTGAAATAAACAGTGCTTTCAGGCACAGGAGCCACTGTGGGGGGTGTGAGAGGGTAGCAAGCAAGTTCACCATGGCCAGGGATTCAGAGTTGGAAGAACCTCAGATATTACTTAGACCAATGTATGTATCAGGAAGATGCTCAAGGAAAAAAAATAAGATTCTAAGATGAGATGAATGTGAAAAATGCTGGTATGAGCATCAGTACTTAAGTATATTTACTCAAGACCCCTCAGAGGCTTGAACCTACTGATGTTCGTGGTGAATCTCCAAGAGGAGGGTTCAGAGAGCAGCATTTTCCAAGTGCATTTGACCCTAGACCCTTCTTTTTTTTTTCTTATCTTATTTATTTCTGTTCTCTTTTTTTTTAATTGAAATATAGTCAGTTTACAATGTAGAGTTAGTTTCTGGTATATAGCACAGTGATTCAGGTATATATATATATTCATTTTCACATTATTTTCATTACAGGCTATTGTAAGGTGTTGAATATACCCTGTGTTATATAGTAGGAATTTGCTGTTTATCTATTTTATATATAGTAGTTAGTATATGCAAGTCCCAAACTCCCAAAATATCCCTCTACCCTACCCCCTTCCCCGCTGGTAACCACAAGTTTGTTTTCTATGTCTGTGAATCTGTTTCTGTTTTGTAAGTAAATTAATTTATCTTATTTTTTTAGATTCCACATATAAGTGATATCATATGGTATTTTTCTTTCTCTTTCTGGCTTACTTTACTTAGTATGACAATCTCCAGGTCCACCCATGTAGCTGTGAATAGCATTATTTTACCCTTTTTGTGGCTGAGTAGTATTCCATTAAATATACACCACAACTTCTTTATCCAATCATCTGTTGATGGACATTTATATTGCGTCCATGTCTTGGCTATTGTAAATAGTGCTGCTATGAACATTGGGGTACATGTATCTTTCCTAATAAGGGTTTCATTTGGATATATGCCCAGGAGTGGGATTGCTGGATCATAGGGTAAGCCTATTTTAACTTTTTAAGGAATCTCCGTACTGTTTTCCATAATGACTACCAATTTACATTCCTACCAACAGTGTAGGAGGGTTCTCTTTTCTCCCCACCCTCTCCGGTATTTATTGTTTGTGGACTTTTGAATGATGGCCATTCTGACTGGTGTGTGGTGACGTTCTACTGTAGTTTTGACTGCATTTGTCTGATAGTTAGCGATACTGAGCATTTTTCACGTGCCTATTGGCCATTTGCATGTCTTCATTGGAGAAATGTTTGTTTAGGTCTTTTGCCCATTTTTTGATTGGGTTACCTTTATTTGTTGTTGTCATTGAGTTATATGAGTTGTTTGTATACTCTGGAAGTTAAGCCCTTTTCAGTCACATCATTTGCAAATATTTTCTCCCATTCCGTAGGTTGTCTTTTCGTTTTGTTTATAGTTTCCCTTGCTGTGCAAAAGTGTATACGTTTAATTAGGCCCAATTTGTTGATTTTTGCTTTTATTTCTATTGCCCGGGCAGACTGCCCTTGGAGAACTTGCTAAGATTTATGCTGGAGAATGTTTTGCCTATGTTTTCTTCTAAGAGGTTTATAGTGTCTTGTCTTACGTTTAAGTCTTTAAGCCATTTTGAGTTTATTTTTGTGAATGGTCTGAGGAAGTGTTCTAACTTCATTGGTTTACATGTACCTGTCCGGCTTTCCCAGCACCATTTGCTGAAGAGGCTGTCTTTTCTCCGTTGTAATGGCAAGATGAATTGACCATAGTCATGTGATTTTATTTCTGGGCTCTCTATTCTGATCCATTGATCCATATGCCTGTCTTTGTGCCAATACCATGCTGTTTTGATTACTGAAGCTCTGTAGTATTGTCTGAAATCTGGGAGAGTTATTCCTCCAGCTTCATCCTTTTTCTTCAGCACTGCTTTGGTGATTCAGAGTCTTTTGTTATTCCATATAAATTTTAGGATTATTTGTTCTAGTTCTGTGAAAAATAGTCCTGGGAAATTTGATAGGGATTGCATTAAATCTGTAGATTGCTTTGCATAGTATGGCCATTTTAACAATATTAATTCTTCCAATCCAAGAGCATGGGAACCACAGAATCCTTCTTAAGGGACATTTATTAATACATCCTGGACGTAGTGTTCTTAGGAACGCGCTTGAAGAAATGTTGACCAAGCCCAGCTCTTATTGACAGAGGAATAAACAGAAACCCAGAAAGAGAAAGCGACTGGTACAAAGTCCCTTAGCTGCCTGGTAATAGAACCCAGGTCCTTTATCTCTCTTTTCAGGCTTTGCATCTAGAATATTGTCCTCCTGTCCCACCGTGGACATATGGGCCTGCCACAGGCCCTGCCTGGTTCACGGAGATGGCTTTGAATGTTGGTAACCAGCTCAGAGATGTCCTGAGGGGTTGCCACCTCCCCTGGTGACATCGAGTTCACTCATTTATTCCTCTGAATAATCTTTCTGGAGCCCTTCCTATGTGACTTGTGATTTGTGGAAGCTGTAAATGCCATGGAGAGATTCTAACCCCACCCCCTTTCTACACTCGCCTCACAGCAGAGATAATACTCAGTGAATTGTAGACAGTAAATTAACCAGGTTGGAGCAGAAGGGTCAAATATGAGCAATATTAAGGCTTTTCATCGGGAGAGTAACGTGATTAAGGATGCATTACAATTTCTATGTCTCGGACGCAGTGCAGGGACCTGCTGGTGGGGATTTTTCCAGGATGAGGAGCAGACTGCTGCCATGATAGTTACCATAATTAAGTATTAGGCCTTTAAGTATTCTCTAGTTATTTTCTTTTTAATAGATATCTAATAAAAACAACCAACTCTACAGAACTGTATAGAAGATAGCCCATAATTCCAACTCCCAGAGACAAACTCTGTTAACCAATTAGCATAAATCCTCCCCTATCTTTTTCTGCACACATGCAAACACAGGTATAGTTTTA